TACGCTTAACTACACCAGAGCTGGTAGTGGCTGATATGTGTATGTTCTAGAAGTTGGTTCCTACCAACTTGAGCTTTGTCACTCAAGATTTAATGGTTAAGGTAGTCAGTATGCTACAGTAATACCAAAGTCATAACTCAATTAATACATCCATATTTGCCCTACACTTAAAACAAGCTTAGATAGTGTATTCAATACCAGAATACACATATTTTCCTCATGCCTTCTTCGCAACACCTTGTTTGGAAAATAAATGTGTCAATTTTGAAAAGCTAAACATTTCTAATATTTTAAATTTTGAAAATATGAAAACACGCTCAATTTTAAAATTTCCTAAAATTTTTAAAATTTCGAAAACCCAAAATTAAAAATTTCTACATACGAAATTCCAAAATGTAAACTGATATTTAAACAACTATCCTAACCCAGACTTCCTTCACTGAAATTAAAGAAGCCTAACCTAACATAACATAACGTCTTAACAAACCAACCCGAATCTAACTTGACCTAACCTCACCAAACACAACTGAAACTAAAGTACCCTAACCTGAAGGTTTCCGTCTTCTGGGTTATCGACCAGACTACACAGCGCAATAACCCAGAAGACGGAAACCTTCATACTCACCGCTGTGAGAACCTCAAGTCTTACGTACCCTAACCTGTCCGATCAATTACAATCTTCACATACACGAACACTTCGGCTGATTCCCATTTATTCAATATGAACCACGAGTGCCACAATGACTAAAGTGAAGACTCATACAAAGCATAATATTGGTTAACATTGGTAAGCATGAAAACCAATGTAAACAAGTTCTAACTACAGCCACGAGAATGCAGCAAATCATGTCCACCTCACAACTTTCCTTACCCATCATTTTTTATTCTTACTCCTATTAATATATAATATAAAAAAAATGAGAGCTTATTTTCATAATCTGGTTAAATGATACATGTACATCATTAAAATTCCGACATATTGTTTCTGACTTTCATACAAGATAAAAGTGATTTTAGACCTTTCTGGTTTATTTGCTTTTCAAGAAGTTTTCCTCATCATGTGAGGCAGAGGAACAGAAAGGGTTAAGAGTTTCACTAACACTTCAGAAACCTGAAAGGGTTTAGTGGCCAAACTAGTTTGGGAAACACTGGTATTGAGAATATGTTGTAAGCCTCAAACCAACAAGCATGAGGCTAAAAACCTGTAAAGTTTTCTATGTTTAATTCCATGTGGATGACTGAATTCTACAGACTATAAATTTGTGATCCCTACATGCAAAGCCAATTAAACCGATCACCCATGGAGTTTCATTCCATGATACTGATCTTCTATATATCAAACAGGCAATATACCCATAAAGTGATGTAGCTGTGTTACAGCATCCATCATCACTAGGGTCATTATAAAAGTGTAATAAACTGCAACTCTTCTAGAAACAGAGACAAGAGCTAGACAATCACTCGAGGAAATGGGAGAATAGCAACATACTGCAGAATAAAACTCCAGAGGGTATCCAGAGAAATACCGTATCACCAACACTAAAACAAACAAAAAGGAGCCCAATGAATATCTCCAACAACAGAAATTCACAAAATGTTGAAACAAAAACAGAGTTAAGACGATATTCCGAAGATAACAAGTTGGAATCTACAAGTACCACAAAGAGAAAACAATCAAGCACTTTAAAAAATAAAGACAATAGGTAAGTTCTTACATGTCTTTGCGAGTTATATAATTTAACAAAATTCTAAAAATGACTTCACATTTCATTTGATTTTTAGGTCAATATACTGCATTCCAGTGCATTGTATTTGGTTTCATGACTTGCACTCCATTGCATTAAAGGTTTCAGTAAATACAATCTTCATAAGACGTACCCAAATCTCTGTTACCATTTTGTATTTATTTAATAAATTACTTCTTACTGAATGTCTACATGTTACATCCAGTTATACAAACACCAATGCCAGTTGAAACCTTTGGTGCTTACCAAGGACTGACTCAAGCCCTTCTTACCAAGAACCAAAGACATACATCCTGGGCTACATTTTAACTATAGTACAAGACACCGTAAATTGTTTTGCAAATATTTGGTTTCTTTAGTATATAAACAACCAAGTATATTCCTTCAATTTTCCTACACATTTGTCAAAATAACTCTTGCTGAATGGATTTTGAACATATTCCATATTAAAATTTATGTAAATGAAAGTCTATAATGAAACATTAATGAATACTGGTCATTGAGAGCCACCACTTTGCTTGAAAATCTAAATAACAAACTTTTCTCACAAATTCACTGATAAAAGTTGTAAATTTTTGAACTTATAGTTACGAGGCCAATGAGAACTATAATCCTGGAAAACGCGGTGGTGGGACTGACTACTCTAACAACCCCATAGTTGAAATGGAGATGAAAGGCAAGCAATCACGTAACACAAAGGACACAGATACACCACCATTCAATTTCCAGGTAATGTATTCCTTTCACAAAAGGAGAATTATCACAATCATTTTATATTGGTACCAGTGACCTTAGGTTAATTAACACATTCACTTGCTAAACCAAAATCAGGGATTTCCACTTCTTGGATATGTTTTAACATTGTTAATGCCAAAAAAGAATCTAATTCAGAAGACAACAAGCCTTCTGAATACTGTGCCATGTAGTCTGGTCGAAGCTGATTTACTTTTCATAGGTGCTTAGTGCCTACTTCATCAAGGGGACTCATTGCTCTGATGATTTCGGCGGTAAGCACCTCTGAAACATCATTCATCTCCTACAAGACTGCATGACGCAATATCCCAGAAAGATGTCATCGTTATACTTGCCACCATGAGAATCTGAAATCTCAACTCCGATTTATCACACTATTCTTTATAACTTGGACTTTATACCCTGGCTTTCAGTTACAGACTTCTTTTAAATGCCCAGCAGTAAATGTGTTAACGTGTAACCCCTATCGCAAGCCAGGATTGAAGGAAAGATGAACACAACATACGAGAAGTCATACAATCACACTGTTCATATCAATTTTTTATTTTGATGGACAGTAGTCTTGCAGCTTAGTCCTGATATTACATTCTCACCCTGCTGTGTTTTCATATATTTATAATGTCATACTAGTTTTCTCATCAAATAATGAATTACCTCAGCATTACCTCCTTCTTGAGAAGAAATACATTTCTCTACTGAAACGGAGCTGAATGTAATATTCTTAATTTCACGAAGCAAATATGACAATATTCCTATTTTACGTATCAAAATATGAGCATATACTGGTTAAACTAACCAAGTTCCGAATTTTTTACAGGCAATGTTACGAAAAACTAATATTAATCGGGCTTCCCTGAGGAGAGCTCATGACGCAGTATCAGAAGCTACAACCAAAGAAATCTCTGAACAGAGAAACAACAAAAACAGTTCGACAAATGGTGAAAATAACACTAGATCCAGGACCAACAGCACACACAGACATAATCGTATAACTCCTGCATCTAGTTTAAGCAGGTCCGACCCAAAAGAATCTTGGAACGAATACGAACACCGGAGTACAAATAACACAAAGAGCTCTCAGAGTGAAAGTGAAGAGCAGGGCAAATATAATTCCATTTTATATTGGAGTAATTGTGAAAGCAATTCAGATTCCAAGAAACCTTCGATTGAAAATTATCAACGCAGATCTGACCTCAACAAATCAGAGGCTGAAAATGAGCGAAAGGGTAAGGCCAGTTCCAGTAAGTCTTCATATAAAATTGAACCATGTGAGTCAGAGTTCATGAAGTCTCAGAATAAGAATGAACAGCGTGGGAGAATTGATTCTAAGAAAATTCTGTCAGAAAATAAGCAACCCGGCTCAAAGAATGTATCCAATTTAAAAAATTCATTCAATGAATATGAAAATAACAGCTGTACAAGAACCAGAGAACAATGGAAGAACAAAACAGAAATAACAAGTACAACAGAACTGGTTCCGGGTCTAATCATACAAGGACAAGTCACAGATCTATAGAAATCATGCAAAAGAGCATCTGACTATATTCTAAACGCTTGTACTTTAACAAAATGCAAAATTGTTGACTTGGTCAAACTACAAAACTTGAATAATATATATATACATTTACAAGAGATATATTCAAAGAAATTATATCAGATCAATTAGTTTCAAAAAAACTAATGAAAATCCATAGAAAAAACTCCAACATGAGTCTAAAATGGCAATATTCATTTCAGAGTATCTGTTTTCTCTAAAGTTCCAAAAAGTGATTATTACAGAGAGTCTTAAAAGCCAAGTACCTGATACCCATTCATGTCTTATGGAATATGGTATCAGAGTGACAAAAGGGTTTTAAGAACTGTAAATGCATACCAATTTTAACATATAATACTCCTTAATGCAGTCTTACAATCAAAGAACTGCATATGTTATAAATATAAACCAATTACTAATACTGCACAGTTATTAAACTACACTGCACCAACAGAACATGGAGAATAATGAATGGGCGTATAACAGAACTACTGATTTCCTTTGTGACTGGAAAATATTGTACAAAATAATGTGTGTGTGTATATTCTTTTGTGATCAGTATGAAGGATATAATTGAATTCAATTACATTCATATAAAAGTTGCTATGTTCCCAGACAAATATTACGTAACAATTCATGATAATGTATAAAGTGAAGCTTTCATGGTGACTGAAGCTAATGAAAGACTCGGGCAACAAGCCGCGTCAGGTGAATGAATGGTGAATGAACCATTTCTTCTGCCAACGTTTCGAGAGCCATCTCTGCTCTCATCCTCACGGCAGCTGTGAAACGAAACTGGTCCCATGTAGCGTGCTCGCCGATGGGAACTGGCGGTGGATGGCAGGTAGTAGCATCGTGTTGCTGGTGGCCAGTCTGTTGTTTGTTTCATGCTGACCAATAGGAACTGTGAAACGAAACTGGTCCCATGTAGCGTGCTCGCCGATGGGAACTGGCGGTGGATGGCAGGTAGTAGCATCGTGTTGCTGGTGGCCAGTCTGTTGTTTGTTTCATGCTGACCAATAGGAACTGGCAGACAAGGTCAGGTGCTCGCTCTCGCTGGCTCGGCCTTCCGGGCAGACTGCAGTTTTGTCACAGGAAATGGCAGAAGAAATGGTACATTCACCATTCAGCCACCTGACGCAGCTTGCTGCCCGAGTCTTTCATCAATTCATGATAATGATTACAGCTGTAAGCATTTTCACTGAAAGGTAGATCACTAAAAGAATAATAATACAATTCAACCATGTTGAAAGTCACACTACACCAAGTCAGATTATTTACAGTATACTTCATAAGTGTACTTCACTGGAAAAATCCAAATATTATCAATCATCAGAGTATAGAAACAATGAAAAAAAGAGATTATTTGCTTGTCATGAGTTACTATACACTTGTAGGATAGTTGTAGAACACTGAACATAATTATAATGCAGTTGCATGTTAAAGCTTCAAAAAGCATTGGTACGTAGCCTGATCACAAACAAAATTACAGACTGTTCTTATTGCCTTATATATGGCTGTAAAGTTTACTTTATTCTATAATTTCACAACTTTCATAAATCTGACAGCAGGACTTTTATTATTCCAGATATGAGGGCAAGACAATTTCAAATAAGTGATTGTTCAAATCTGTATGTGGTTCTATTCACTCCCTCCCAACGCCTATAAATTCCTACAGAATTTTTCTTAGATTACTTCAGTAATCAACGAACACAATTCAAAATATGAAAGCAGAACAAGAAACAGTCAAATCTGCTAAGTCTCAAAAACACACTTCAATGTACAGTAAAATCACTGTCAATAGATAAGAGAGAATGCCTTTTAGTTATTTATTGTGAAGGTTATTTACATTATGAATAATGAGAATGGGCACAGTTGTTCCGATGCTCTTAACCAGATACTGTGATGCTGCAATGGGAGAGCAAATATCTTAGTTTTACTTGTATGAAATATAATTATTCTAGGTTATCTGAATGGAATGTTCTCTTAAATTAAACTGTACTACTTCCCATTTAGAAATAGAAATTATCACCATGGTCTGCTTTACATAATCAGATGTAAAATTCTTAGTTTGGAGATTAATTGTAAAATATTAAAAATTCAGCATCTGCATTCATTTGATGTAGTGTTTCAGAAAATAAAGCTGGACAATTACTAAACTGTGATCTAAGTTAAAATCACTTATCTTTGTGCCCATTTACTCTCTTGGTTCTTCTTTTATGCATTCTGAAATGCATTAACATACAAATTACGAGCAGACTTGGGAAACTTCCCGCCCAAATCCTAGCACAAAAATGTATAGGCCACAGTTGCACAAACACATTTATTACCTTACAAACTAGGCAAAATATTTACAAAAGAGAAAAAGATACAATACATAAAATAGTTAGTACATAGTTTAAAATGCTTGAGGGCTTACGCCCTATAAAGATTACATGTGGGCACGCAATGCTCTGCCCTAACACTGTGCTGCCTTTCGTAATTACAAAAGAGAGGCAAGAGCATTCTCACCACAAATGGAGGCTAAAGGTGTACACATGTTTTACATTCTATAATTTTCCCAACTCAATTTTGTAAATCCCTTCTTAGTTATTTCTAAACATACGACATTTGAAGGCTTACCTTTTACTAGCACCCCGCAAATATACTCTGCAGTCGCCATTAAGTCATCGTGAACACGGAAGCGGTTTCCCACATCCTGCCCTGCCCTCTTCCTTGCGTCAGAAAGTGACGTTAATTGAAACATTCTGAGCGGCCATGTTCCATCAAAGGAAAACATCAAGTTGCCTTTCCCGCGAACCTTAACACCCATGTAACCGAAAACAAAACGTGCCTGATCAGGTAGGCACAAGCTGCGAGCTGGCGTTTTCTTTCCATCGTGGAAAGCAACTTTATTCTACGTGGAAATAAAGTATCAGGTAATCCACGGGGACTGCCTGCTAGCCATGTACACTCTGTACAAAAACATTGTAATATAATACAATGTAACTAAAGTAAGCCGAAACGCTATGTATACTCTGTACAAAAACATTATAATACAATGTAACTAAAATAAGCCGAAACGCCATGCCTTATCTAAAAATGTAAGGATAAAAAATAATTTTACCTGTTCATTTGTAAAGGTGTCAAACCCACTTAGGGAAAAATACATTGATTGGGAATATTTGGACCAGAGTGGGATGAAGTGATGGTAGGCTGGAGAAAGTTGCATAATCAGAATCTTCACAATGTGTACTCTTCATCAAATATTATTACGATAATCAAATAAATGGGGTTGAAATGGGTAGGGCATGTAATGCACATGTGGAGGTGAAAAAGGCTACAAAATTTTGGTTGAAAAGCCTAAAGAGAAGAAACCACCCCGAAGGCTTGGGAGTAGATGGGAGGATAACATTAAAATGGATTTTAAGGAAATTGGGACTGGTGGTGCAAAGTGTATTCATCAGGCTACCAATAGGGACCACTGACAAGTACTTACAAACATGGTAATGAACTTTTGAATTCCATAAAAGGCAGGGAATTTCAATGGCTGAGTATACTACTAGCTTCTCAAGAAGAACTTTGCTCCATAAAGCATTTTGTTTAATATTCTATAACTGTTCCTGTTTCACTGCTTCTTCCCATGCCTCTGCTATCGACTCGTTTTGACAAAACTTATGGTGGATCCATATTGTTTCCTAAAATTTCAATTGAATTTCACAAGATTTAAAAATCATTCTTTTAATCAAATTCCCATTATCATTCATTATTCAGAATGCAAGTAGCATATAAGAATGTCATTCTTACATCTGCTTTGACAGAGCTACACACAGCCCGTCATTTATTTATTCAGTCCTCTCAAGAATACCCTTCAAGGACAGTATTTTGAGTGTAAGTCTGACGATAATGGCGATGATATGCTGGCTGCAGCAATAAGACAAAACATTTTTTATTGTATTGTCATAAAAAAAAACTGCTTCCATGTTCATGCAAATATGAAAGTCATCCCTGGGTGTAGGTACTGCATTATGAAGGCACATAGACCTTGGGACCAGATGGAAGGAATACATCAGCTTCACACACTCCAACCACTTATCTAGACTAAGAAATTCACACGGGAAGCTATAACATTATGATCGACAATAAAACTGATGAGGACTTACAAAACACTCATTTTCATTTCAAAGGAAATTATTGCTAGATGTCTATATCACTCAATGTATGTATGTAATAATTTTCTTGTAAACTTATGAATGAAACAAATCCCATATATTTTATGTCAAAGTACTTGCTTTAATTTAAATTTATACATTTTTTTTTTGCTTACAACTATTTATTCCTAAGCATACTTATGTGTCAGAACTATTACTGCAATGCCTAAGTGATTATAATCAAAGGATAAATATAAAATTAATTATGTAGTACATTAGTACTATCTAAAATATCTTCCTAATTCTGTGACACATCAGCAGAATGGTTTGTTCCGACTCTACACAGCTTTAATGCATGCAATTTCTTAATTCAGCTGAACAAGATCATGTATGTCACGCTGGCTAATGACAAGAGGGGTGTTCCATGAGAACTTGAACATATTTCACAAAAATGAGAGGCTGACCTACTAGCAATCAGAGCACACATACACACTGATTTGTCAATTCTGGAACAGGATTCTGTAGTGTTGCGATTATGATGGGTCAACAAATACAAACTTTAAGGAAGCAAAATGCCATACTGATCTTCTACTTCCAACTTAGAATTTATTATTACTTCGCTGCTGACAAATGGCGACAGCGAGACGAAACAATAATTAAATATGATGAATGTGCCACACAGAAGTGCTCAAGCCTAGTGCAGCTTTAAATCGCCAAACCCTAATATCACCATTAATATCAGACTTGAAGAACTCGAGTATCGAAGCCTATTCAAGTTATTTACAAGTCTGCAACAAACTGATACTATCACAAAAATGTCACACCTTCACAACTTCCAGGATTTTTCTTCTGGCCTCGTTATCCCTGAGGACTTACTGTCATTCACCTGATATCAGACTAGCTGAAACATATAGCTTCCAAGCTAATGTTTTCCGTATCATTCTTACCACAATATTAATCCATCTAGGATTCTTAAGTCTGTACTATGTGCCCATCTTTGTTGTTTCATTGGCCATTTCAGGATCTTGACTGGTGCTTGAACCACTTGATTTCTCTGCATCGTTACTGCTAATTTTCTTAATCATACTGACAAAAGTATCCAACCGAGTTGGATTTGGGATTTGTAGTACAATGTGAGCCTCTTCCAGAATCAACAATCCATTACGAGCATCTGCTGATGAAAGATTATGCTCTGACATAACATGTTGTTCCCAGTCACTGTGTGAGGGCAGCACTTGAAGGCACCACTTGCATGAAAGCCTCGGTGACTGTGTATGAACGGCCTTAATGTGGCGACGCCTGAAGCCCCAGCTTGTGTATGCCCGATCACAGAAAGGGCAAGGAAACGGCGGATATAGGAAGTTCTTCGAAGCTAAACACATGAACAATTACAAAGAGACCATCACTGGTATCCATTACAACGAATTAAATCCTGTTTTTTTTAATGTTATACACGTAAGCCACTGAGTTATTTAAATTATAATGTTAGGAGAAGAGACTTACTCTATTTAATTAAAATACCACACTATTATGGAAAATATTACACATACTGTACCTACTGCACCTGTCTGTACCACAAAAAAAAGAGAGAAAAAGAAGCAATAATACAATTACCGATCCTTAACAGCACACACTTCCAACAAATCTAACTCAAGTATGTCAAAACATGTACATGCATACCCTATCTCATATGTAAACAAAACATTCATCCCCCTTCACCCAATATGAGTCACTCAGTTTTATTTTGGAGGACACGTAAAAGATAAAAAGTACCAGTCAGTACTACAATATTTAAAAGGAAAAATATCAGACACTACTGATGCAGTTATCCAAGACAATACAGCTTAGATGGGAACAGCTGGATTACAGATTAGCATATGTGAACAATAAACAGAGCTCACATCCCAACAAGATATAAAACTCACAGTGATATTTTTAAGTCACAATTTTTTATTCCATTGTGACCTAACCTAACAAACACCTACATTTGCATACTTTCATGGAAGTTCTCTATAATTCAATTAACCACAGGCAGTAAATATATTCTGATACATTTCACTCATTAATAATTCCATGTTTAAGCTTAATCGCTGTATTTACGAATAATACTGTTTTTAGATACACACCACATAAAGTGGAAAAATCTCGGAAGAGAACAGCGTCGTTTGTACTTAATTGTGGGTTACAGTTTACTACCCACATGCATACACAAAATCAGTCTTACCTTGGGCTGGATCATAGTTTGGGTCTGCATTAAAAGTTGATCCCTCTGACTTTGAAAAGCCTGCAGAAAATAAAATACAACAAAAATAAATAAAATAAAAACGAAACATTAAACAGAATAAATACTGAAAAATAATAACAAAAGGGTAAAATCCCATAAGCAATATTTTTCTTCAATTAATTTGTTACAGTGAGAGATCATGAACATGTATGTAATATTTATAGTGATGATAAAAGGTGACACTGAAAACAACCGCTTGTAATCAACAGGAAAGGGGTACCGCTAACATTCATACCTGTTCAAGGCATGGCAATGAAGAAGATCAAACCCCAAGTGTCCAATCTTCAGACAGGCTCATTACAGCAATTTTTCTTTCTAATATAACAAATACATATTTCTTACATTAATCACCATAAACAGGTTAATCACCCATCCCACTGGCAGCCTTCTGTAATATGCTTACTTTTCTTTTGCAAATTTTTCATTACATAAAGAATGTGATTTTAATTTTCCATACAATTAAATTTCTAACATTTAGCTTGTTTTAAATTTCTTCACAAAGTTCACACATAAAAATGTGGAATATGGAAAGAATGAAATGTAAATATTTCTTCATGGACTGTGCGCATCTAGTAAAAATCCGGTTTTATATTTTAAGATAAAGAATTTAACTTCATCTTGAACTGACACGTTGTTTCACCTCATGTCAGTGTTCTGTACATGCCAATTCAAGTTTCAGTTCTGCTATGTTGACCCATCAGGGGGTAAAAACGTAGCTGCACACGTGTCTGTTACAACAGATTTTTGTAACATAACCACATATCTCATGCTGTACTTCATGGAAAAATATTTAAACACAAAGGACATTTTTTTATCTTTCTAACAATACAATCTCATTAAGGACCTATTATTTCAAACATAATTATGTTAGTTACATTACACAGGTTCTAGCATAGTTAAAGTAAAAAAGGAAGTTAGTTTTAAATGCTTTTGGTTAAGAATCTTCACACCACATCTGTACAGGAAAACTACAAGTATTTATTTGTTACTTTAAATAACGCATTACAATGACATTATTGCTAACAACATTACCAAGATACTGACAAACAATAAAAAATACTACACAAATGAAGTACATTCACATGACACACATTTCATATACAACATGGGCAATATTTATTTAATTATTAACATTTCACTAGCATCAGTAATTATTGCAAGATTCATAGACCACACACATTTACCATTTATTTACACAATACTGATAACTGTTCAAACTAAACCACATAGCCACCTCAACATTACTACACAAAATCACTACCAGTTAAAACAACCTTGAAATATGAAAGAATATAAGGTAGTCCATAAAATTAACAGTTCACCCTAATTTTGGACACTAATTTACTCCAGTATGTTATGTAATTTTGCTATTTGCTGTTACCATTATTTTACATCAGTTACAAGTATATCTACATAATGATACGTTTCCCATAAATGACACTGGACTAACAACAAAGTGCCTCAATAACATGTCCATTGCATTAATCATTTCAATATATATTATGATCCACATGCATCCTCAAATAAAATTTCTATACAAATATAACAATTCTGCACTTCCCTGAAAGGGATGGAATCGGAGATCTCTAACATTCAGCTTCAAAATTAAAAACAAAAATTCCATTGTATGATGACGATCATATATACAAAGTCACTAAAAAGAACTCTGTATGAAGATTTCTGTCTTCTGGGTTGTTGGGCTGTGTAATCTGGTCGATGTTAATATGAATATTCATCGCCCTGATGACGGAGGCAGTATGACCTCTGAAACGTTGGTAAACATCGACCGGACTACACAGCGCAAGAACCCAGAAGACAGAAATCTTCATACTCACCGCTGTGAAAACCTCAAATCTTACATTTAATGTCTTATTCAATTTGAGACAGAATTTGGCGTAAACTGTTCTAAAACTCACAGGTTTTAGTTTGCATATTTGAAAAATGTTACAGTGACATTACGTGCCTACTGTAGTAAATAGAATAGCACTCGCTTAAAAGTTATTAACCCTTACAACATTAAAAAGAAGCAGTAATTAATTTTATGAAATTTGGAGAACCTCTCAAAGGGAAAATTCACGCCCTTAGAAGTTTCAATGTAAGCATTTTTTGCAATGCCACAGTTGTCCAAATGGTGTTCAGTTTCGATCCAGGTACAATCAAGCATGCCACTACAGCTGCCATAAGTGATTACAAAGAATTTTCTTGGCAGGCATACTTAATGTTTCTCATAATCTTCACACAAAAAACTTAATGGTGTTTGGATGCCACTGATTCAGAATATGGCAAACCTGAAGACTTTTGTTTCCATTGTCATCGATACGTGGGAAAACAGCAAAAAATTGATGAGTTGGATATTACATAAGGCCAGCTACACATGTACAGGTATACCTGTATGTGTGTAGCCGGCTTAACAAATCCTATGCTCACAGTCTCAAAAAGAAGGTTACATCAAATCTTAAAACTGAGAAGTCCTTCTACAGTCACCTTGTGTATACATATACACCAAACAAAAACCTCAAACCACCTATTATTATTCTGCAGATGTCGTTCAGAAAACATAATTGATGACATATCCTTTGTACTCACAACCAATTCTTAACCAAGATCATTCTAAAGGATATTAATGATGGTGTATTATAATAGTTTTGGCTAAAATTGTTGACATTATTCACTGTCTAATAATGCCCAAAATTTTAGCCAGAACTATTACATTTCCTAACTATTTAAAATATTTAAACATATCCCCGACGGGGGCAGAGGATTTTTCCTCTAGCCTCTGCGTCCAGACTGGTCTATCCATTGGGTACTGGTGTCCTTTCCCGGGGTAAAGCATGGCTGAGGCGTGATGCTGACCACTCTCCCCCATCTAGTGATCAGGTCAACAATGAGTAGGGGCTATACCGCCTCTCTCCCCCAAGCGCCTACATGGCGTATAGTGGGACAGCTATAACTTTACTTCTACTTAATTCCTATATAATATAGGATTTACATGGATAAATACCAGTGCTTGAAATGAGAATCTGAAAATATTAGTACGCTACGCAAGCACATATTTCTAGAAATGATTATATTACTTCAAATGAAATACCACATTCGTTTTTACAACACAAAGAGTTCAAGTTCACGTACAGAATGTTTGCCCATAAGAATGGTTTTTCATTACTCTCTGACGTAACCAGCCAAATTACAAAAACCAAAATAAAAAGATGAAGGAACCCTCATTATATTTTCCATAATATATTTAGCAACTGAAATGTATTCACATTTCAATGTTCATGATCACATTCACATAACAGAGCACTCGACACCAACTTCTGATTCACAAACTGGTGCACAGTAATTTGCAATATTTCATCACCCTGATGATGGAGACAGCAAGCAACTTTTAAACATCTGTAAACTTCTACCAAACTACAGGGCTTTACAACCCAGAAGATTGCCATTTTCAATGCAGTAATTTGTTTACCAAGGGCAAGTACATCACCTTGTCCCACACTTTACTGTGCAAACAATTGTCTACATTCACACAATTATTTCTAGCGCATCCTAAACACGTGTATTTAAAATACAAAAATAAATTATGAGGTATTAAATTAGAAGAGATAATCTTGCACAATGACCAAGAATTAGGGTCAGGACAAACACAACATAACAGAGACTAAAATTAATGTGGTCAACCTAATACTGAAAGGATCAAACTGGATGTTTACGAGGTGTGACTGCAAAGCACAGGGACTAAATTCGTATCTCAAATCACGCTGCTCATGAAAGCAGCTGCAATTAATGGGTACTGACATATCCAGGTATGAATGCATCAAATCCTGTTGTTTCAGATGTTCAAGATCAGCATTTATGTAAAACGTCAATTTAACTCTCTTCTTTATAAGAAGGACGAGTGTCCAAAAAAAGCAACAAGCGTAAGGTACCCAAAAATTGAAGAGATTCTTTTGCAATAAAACTTAACTAGTCATGGATCTTACTGTACTGACAATAATGAGTCGGTGATACCTGCTACAAGATTAATCTTGTAACCTTTGGCACCAACATCCCTCCAAGATGATCCAAAAGCTTTATCTACAACTTTGGTATAAAACCACCAAATTTAATTATGTATGTACATTAATGGGGGTGTAGGCAAGAAGGCAACCCTTGCACTGTGACCAGTAACTGATCTTTTGTGCACCTCTGTTCTACTCCGCTACTAGCCCCATGCTAGCAATAAAGCACAGTATCCCACTTAGCATGATCTCAAGATAGTCACCTGATTTCAGGAAAAATCTGCCCAAGTTGTGAAACCAAAGTGGATAAAGCATCACAGTCACACACAACATAAAATTTAATCATGCTGACCTCTAGATCTGAGAGCCTTGGTGGTGAAGATGCCGATTGTGGTCGTCTGAATTGTGATGCCATGTGGTCCTGTAGGTGGCAACCAACATTTTGTAGGAGCATCCACGATACCTTGAAGATGGAGGTGTAACCACTTACAATACTGCGTTGTCACAACCCAGAAGACCACAACGGACATGTCTTTCTTTCTTCCACTATCAATTCCTCACTCATCACAAATGTTGATGTTAAACGACCTACCTAGACAGCTGTTAAAGCGTTACGAAAATAACCCATTCTTCACAGATTGTACATGTTTACTTTCCAAACAGCACAAAACATTCTGAACATATCACAGTTGCGTACTACAATTCAGACTTTGGTTTGTATTTCAGAAACAAAATGTTGGGTAAACAGGACTCTTTGCAGTATTTTTGATTTTGAATTAGCAAAATGCCTTTACAAATCTCTATCAAATAAACAATTTGTAGTATGAGCTAGTCCCATCTCACAATGCAGTTTTAGCAATGAACAGATTATTGTTTAATAGTAGTAATTTGCTAGGCGAAACAGAATAACACGATGTAAAAAGAACAGCTATTGAAATTGGATTAAATTTGAGATTTGACGTTTTCATGATGGTGAGAAAGAGGACTGTGGTCTTCTGGGTT